AGTCCCTAGCCATGCAGGTTTAAACAAATATCTTACACAAGGCAAACACCATGTGAAAAAAGACCAGAAAGCCACCTTTCTCTTCTGTGCCTCAGGTTTTTGTGGTGACAATTCAGTACAGCCCTACAACGGTCATCCCTCCTCTTACTTTTCTCACAGTATTTTTATATGAATGTGTGCTTAAAGAATGCTTTAACAGTCCAGCTGCCCTGCTCATTATACAATCTGCAATGTTTAAATCTAGGGAAAGACTTTCTCAAAACTTTTGCCTTGTAGTGTGTCTGCGGGTATCGCCCTCCCTTCTTTCATTTATAGCCTGTCTAGAGGCTTCCAAACATACTTCCATAAACTTGATAAACTCATGGTATTGCGTGCCAAATTATAATCTCTATGATCTTTGAGATCAGACATCTGTTATCTTTTGCCTCAGGTTTACTTTAAGGTAAACACAAACCCAAAGCACTAAAATGGATTTACAAAAAACACAATCACAGCATGACCTTTCGTTTCTAACGTCTACCAAAGGCCACCGTTGCTGAGGGTATATATCAACTCAAGAAAGCAACGTCTAATCTGGGAAGCAAAGTTTTCTCTAGAGCAATGAAACGACCAGGGGGGTGGGAGAATCTTTTAAGAAAAGCTACAATTTTATATGGCAAATAATGGGTTTTGCAGTCTCTCTTCCTCCTCCTGAGAAGATTGATCAACTCAGACTTATTTACAGTTGTTATTGTTTTTTGCTGTTTTCTTGCTGCTTTGGTAACACCTACATTGCTGAGGGTTTAACACACCTCTTTAAATGTCCTTAGAATGGATCGTTGTTTCACCAGCAGATGGCAACAGTCAGCTCACATAAATAGGAAAGACAGGGGCCAGATTAGGTCTCTAGGAAAATATTTAAGAAAGTTATCCTAACTAAAACTAGTCTTTGCCTTTAAAAAGTACTTCGATTCTCAAAGGTGTTGGTTACAGGGTACCACAGAAAAGCTTTAGGAAAGAGGGAAGGCTTGGACTGCCTCAGGGCTGCAAATAGCTCAGAGATGTCTGAAAATGTGGCCAGCACCCAAGAGTTTTAAATCTTTCTTGAGCTCTGTGGTTCGGTAGAGGAGGAGAGTTGTGGTTCAGACCCAAAACACGATGCACCCAGAGGCTTTTCAACTCCCTCCTCCACCATCCTCAAAAGTGCCCCCTCTTCATATTTTGCTCAAAGCGATTCTGCACTTCATGAGGTCTCTAGGGCTGCTGCTGAAATTGAAGTTTGCCACTCCCCTGTGCATACAGAAGGCCTTTCTGCTTGGTAATGGACCCAGACCTCTAATTTCATGTGAAGGTGCAGAAAACGGTCGCCCTGTCCATTGGACACTACATGCTGTCCATTGGATGTTACACAATACAGTGTTGGCAAAACCAACAATGTGTCCTGTGCCACCTAAGAGACTAACGCTTCTATTTTGGCATACATTTTCATGGATTAGAGTCTACTTCATCAGATGCATGAAGCTTTAGCTCAAGTTGGGTATGGTTTTACCTGGAGGGGAGACAATTAAGAGGTGATAGGACAGCCACCTTCAAACATCTGAAAGGCTTTCATATAGGGGATGAAGCACACCTCTATCCACTGCTTCTCCAGAGGGTGAGGACCCTAACTAACAGCTTCAAGTTACAAGAAAGGGGATTCTGATCAAATGTTAAGAGGAACTTTCCTGATGGTAAGGCAGTAGAACAGACTGATTTGGAAAATGGTGGACTTTTTTTTTCCCATTAGAGGTTTTCAGCATGAAAAACATCTTCATGTATGCGACAACAGCCGCAAGAGTCCTAAAAGCAGAAGGATAGAAGACTGAAGAAATTCCAACTAAAGAATCATGGCAAGAAAAACTGATGGACTATGCATTGACACATAAGCTACGGGACAAGGATAACTGTGACTTTAAAGATGAATGGGAACCCTTTACAAAGTATTTGAAGAGACAACAAAGTGAATTGGACTCCTTGGCAGGTTTTGAATAAACATTCTCAAACTTTTTATTGACAATAATCAGTTAAATAATTTAAGGATTTATACAACTTTGTAACAATTTATACAACTTAGTAACATGCAGAGAATAGCGTTCACAAAGAAACCAAAGACTGGAACTGAGGGAAGTCGGGGTGGGTGGGTTTTGTGTGGGAGGGTGGGGGGAGGGAGGAAAATGGGAAAAAATTAAGGATGATATGTTTTTGGATAATATGTTTTGTTTAAATCTTTAATTAAACTTATATATATATATATATATATATATATATATATATATATATATGTGTGTGTGTGTGTGTGTGTGTGTGTGTATATATATATATATATAAGAGAGGTTTTCAGGAGAGGCTGTAGCAGTAGATTTCTTGCATTGACAGGTGGTTGAGCAGTGTTAGAAACTGAGATACGAAAGCTAGGAGCTAAACAGCACCTTAAACCAAGGTTATGGGTGCAAGAATTGAAGGTCTAGACATGCTTTAGTATAACAAGAATACAAAGCTGTAAATGAATGAACTGCAGCTTAAATATTATGTTCATTTCCCACATGGTCTAGTCCTTCCCCTTCCCACCCCCTTAATATTATTAAGAGGGTCTCTTAATACTTTCAGAGAGTAGTTGGCAGTGGGGAGGCATAAAAAGGTCCTCCTTTGCTTCCACTCTGCAGTTTTCACCTGAAATTTTAGGCGCAGCACTTGCGCCCAGAGCTCAGAAACTGCTCACGCTAATAAAATTCCCTGTCGCAGAATGCGCCTGGAACAATGTGAGTTTCGAACACTGGCTAGATGGTCTTTGAATAGGCATCAAAATTTGATGATAGACAGGGTGGAGAGGATTCTCAGAGAGGCTGTGGGAAGGGGAGAGTTGGGCAAGTTCACTCTTCTGTGTGTGGAATAATAAAGAGTTTGGTATTATGATATCTTTTTTTCTTTCTCTTTTTCCCTTTCCCCCCTCCCCCTTCTTATTTCTTTCCTCTCTTTTGTTTTTAGATTAGTTTGGCTTTTACTGCATTTTAAGTGGAAATTTTCAATAAAATATTCAAAAACATTTGTGCCTATGGATGCACACAGCAAACCTTTCAAGCTAATGATCCACAATGAATTAGGCTAACCCCCAGCTTCAGGCTTTTGTATTATTTCCTCATTGCTCTTTAGCACCTACAATGACTGCAAGCAGTTTGGAGAAGGGTGTTTTTCCCCCCTTGGGAGATTTCGACAAGTGTGACGTATGAATGGGAATGTTTCAAAATCCTGTTCTCATCAACATCAATGAGTTTACATTATCTGTACCCATCTAACCTAAGCTGTGAACTCTGAGGTTCTTGTCATAAACGTTTTTGCATTTGCTTTTGTTTTAATTTGGTTGCTGGTTTGGGGCCCCAGGTAGAAATTTAAGAAACCCTAACTGGTTCCAAAAGCTGCACAATCTAACCCCATTCCAAACACAACAAATGGGATCTCTGTTCATAGTGTGGGTGAACATCTGCTAATTTCAAACCACACCCACAAATTTGGCACATTTAGTGTGATGAAGCCAAGCTTTGCAGAAATAAACTTTATTACCAAAGCAACATCTTTTTATGCTTTATATATTAAAGTGTGTTTAACTTCACATCCATGCACAAGCATGACATAGTAACAATTTTTTTTTCGTGGGGGGGTAGGTAAGATTGTAGACTAACATTTTCAAGATTCGGTGCCTAGAAAGAGCAGAGATTTTAATGTCTCTAACAATTTAGCCTCTGAAAGTTTATCAGAGGAATGGAGGTTTCTGACTTCCATCTGTCAAACCTATTAATTCTGTGTGAAGCTATTAAAATTGCGCACACACAAATCACCTACTCAAAATGAACTTTGTGTGTTTTTACTAGCTGACACTTTGGGGGCAGACTACATGTTACACACAAATGCTTGTAATTCAGCCGTAGTGGGGTGAAGGCAGGGTGCAAACAGTTATCATTTTCTCTCATCTACTGCTTCTTTGCTCACTATATATCCCTTCCAAAAACAAAAACAAAAAACCACCTAACAACTCCCCCCCCCAAAAAAAGACCTGCTTTATGTGCATTTGTGGCTAGATTTCTCTTGATTGGTTTTATATTTATTGCATATTTTATCCAAGCTGTTCAGGTCAGGATGATATATATGGTTGCTCTATCTCACAACCCTGTCAGACTGATGGAAAGAGTGTGTTGACTGGCCCAAGTTCATCCAATGAGCTACGCATCTGCGTTTGGATTTGAAGCCAGTTTTCTTCAGCTCTCCTCCAATACATACATGGGGAACCTTTGGTCCTACAAATGTTGTTGAACTAGAACTCCCATCATCCATGGTCACTGGCAATGCTGGCTGGGGCCCATGGGAACAGTAGTTTTATTTTTTAAATGTTTTTATTAAATATTTTCTTGGGTTACAAAAGTACATACATCATCTCTATTTTCAGATCCTAAAGTCCTTTCTACAGGTCAGCTATATTTGATGTGAGACTTTAATGCTGTAGAAAGTATAAAGTTGGGGGAGAAGAGAGGTGAGGAGAGAGGTGGAGTAGTAAACTTTCAGTCTTTTACATAGTGTATATGTGAGGTTTATATGTCAGCGTCACGTGGGTAGGTTCTCTTTCTATTCTTTTATTAGTTTTCATTGATGGTGAGAGAGATGGGGGGACGGGACAGAACTGGCGCTATTGAATATTTTCCAAGACAATAACGCACAGTCACACTACAAAGAACTCATGGGAGTTGTAGTTCAGCAACTTCTGTAGGGCCAAAAGTTCCCCACATCTGCACCAAATGCTACAGCCACACTGGAAAATGCGGATTTACAGAAACAGTGATTGGAATAGACTTCCCAACTTTTGCAGCCATTTCCCTTTTTTGGTAAAGAGTAATTTATGCAGAGCAGCCACAAAATTAAAAGACGCCTGCTTCTTGGGAGAAAAGCAATGACAAACCTAGACAGCATCTTAAAAAGCAGAGACATCACCTTGCCAACAAAGGTCTGTACAGTTAAAGCTATGGTTTTCCCAGTAGTGATGTATGGAAGTGAGAGCTGGACCATAAAGAAGGCTGATCGCCAAAGAATTGATGCTTTTGAATTATAGTGCTGGAGGAGACTCTTGAGAGTCCCATGGACTGCAAGAAGATCAAACCTATCCATTCTGAAGGAAATCAGCCCTGAGTGCTCACTGGAAGGACAGATCGTGAAGCTGAGGCTCCAATACTTTGGCCACCTCATGAGAAGAGAAGACACCCTGGAAAAGACCCTGATGTTGGGAAAGATGGAGGGCACAAGGAGAAGGGGACGACAGAGGACAAGATGGTTGGACAGTGTTCTCGAAGCTACCAGCATGAGTTTGACCAAACTGCGGGAGGCAGTGGAAGACAGGAGTGCCCGGTGTGCTCTGGTCCATGGGGTCACGAAGAGTCGGATACGACTAAACGACTAAACAACAACAACAACAATTTATGCAGAGCACAGAAATACCAAAACAGACACACTGATGCTGCTAAAGCTCTCTAGGCAAGCTCCAAAAAAATGATATTAAAGCCAGTAATTCAGGAGAGGAAAAAGAGGCTGGAGGAGAGCTAACATCTCCCCGGCCTTCTGGTGTCATCTTCTCTAGCTCTAGCTGGAGATGCCAAAATCTGGATCTGGGACCATGCAAAGTATGCACTGTACTATTGAAACCACAGGGCATCATCCCTCCTATTCCCACTTTGGTGTTCCATTGCTCTTGCCAACCTGGTACCGTCCAGTTGTCTTGGCTCACAACTCCCATTAGCCCTGTGCTAGCTGGGGGCCTGGGCTGATCAGGTGTAGTCCAAAATAGCTGGAGGACAGCAGGTGGGTGAAGAACCTGCCACTGCCCCCCAAACAATGGGAAGGAAGGCTTGCAAACTGCAAACAGCATAACAATGATCTCCATTTTTCAGGACTGCAGAGACCCAGGTGAGTGAGTGTCTTGTTTAATTCTGCTGCTCTGTAGATGTCTCTAATCAAGATGCATTGTTTGAATTGCAGCTACATTTCCCTTTCTCTTTGCTAAAAGTACACCCATTCTGTAACAAGCTTGCTTTCGACCCCTCCCATTACTGGACACTCTTTTGTAACCTTTTACTCATTCAGTGCCTTTTTCTATTAGAGGCAATTGTCCCACAATGCAAATGTAAGGGAGGGGTGCGGTGCAAGAAAGAAGGTCAATTAACACCCTTATAGGGAAATGATTTGCTTTAGGGCATCAACAATTCATGTGTGCATGTGTGTGCTTTCTATTGAGTATGGGTAATGCAACAATGCCTTTCAGCAAAGAGGTTGCACCAAAAAGTTACATCTCACCCATCCATTCCCCCTAGGAAATGCAGCAAAACTATTTCACTCTTTATTTGATAATGTATATACCTTGCCATCCTTAAAAACAAAACAAAACATAAACCAAGCAAACCAAGGCAGCTAACAAAATAATGCAAAGCAATAACAATTGCAAAATGAATAACAAGCAGCCGCAAGAACAAAAACTAACTGAAGTGTAAAGGCAGATTAAAGCCACTAACAGGAAAAAACCAAACAATTCTCAGCAGAGAGAGAGAGAGAGAGAGACCAAGTCAATCAACTTTCTTCAGTAGCGAAGCACTGACTTTAGCTTAATTCTACCACAGAGCTAAGATATGTGTTTTAGTGCTGTGGTAGAATTAAGCTAAAGTCAGTGCTTGGTTTGGCAGCACATATACTGAAATTAGCCTAAGGCGGTGATGGCCAAACTTGGCCCTCCAGCTGTTTTGGGACTACAATTCCCATCATCCCTGACCACTGGTCCTGTTAGCTAGGGGTGATGGAAGCTGTAGTCTCAAAATAGCTGGAGGGCCAAGTTTGGCCATCACTGACCTAAAGTGAGGACCAGGTGGACTTCCCTAGTATATGAATGCTGCAACCAAAACAGCCCCCAAATGGTACTGCAATTCAGTTGGTGGTGGACCTGGTGAAATTTGCAGCATGAGCTTTGGTGTTGATTGGGGCGCATTGGGAGGGAGAAGGTCCATAATTTGGTGGCAGAGCATCTGGTTTGCATTAAGGAAGGTCCTAGGTTCAAATGCTGGCTCCCTCGGCCTGAAAATAAGATGAGCGCCACACCCCATAGTCACCTTTGACAGGACTTAACCATCCTGGGGGCTGTGTGTGTGTGTGTCCCTATATAACATTCCAGCAACAATATTTTAGTTGGAATTTCTGGATTCTTTTCTAGGACAACTCCAAATGGAACTTGTTACAATAATCCAGTCTAGCAAATACTAGCATATGGATAATTGTGCCAGACCTGTCTCCTATAATGGGGTGAGAGAGTAACTTGAGGGCTGAATGCCACCCTCCTGGCCTGTCTGTCTAGTCCTCCAAATTCCCCTCAGACAACACCCACATCACCCACAGAGAACAGAGAGTTGTGGTTGGGTGGAACTAGACCACTATACAAAGGTAACATTTCCATTCTTTGCTCTGCCTACTTTCCCTGCCTCGGACATGTGACACTTGCAAAGTAGCCCCCAAAAGGAATGCATAATCCAGTAATATTTATACACCTGTACAATCCAGTAGAGGGACATGGGTGGCGTTGTGGGTTAAACCACAGAGCCTAGGACTTGCCAATCAGAAGGTCGGCGGTTCGAATCCCCACAACGGGGTGAGCTCCCGTTGCTCAGTCCCTGCACCTGCCAACCTAGCAGTTCGAAAGCACAAAGTGCAAGTAGATAAATAGGTACCGCTCCGGCAGGAAGGTAAACAGCGTTTCCATGCACTGCTCTGGTTCGCCAGAAGCAGCTTAGTTATGCTGGCCACATGACCCGGAAGCTGTACGCCGGCTCCCTCGGCCAATAAAGCGAGATGAGTGCCACAACCCCAGAGTCGGCCACGACTGGACCTAATGGTCAGGGGTCCCTTTACCTTTACCTTTTTTTTTTTTTTAAATGTCTTTTATTGGATACCAAATGGATTCAATTTCCCCCCCCATCTTGCAACTTGAAAATCGGGAGTGGGGTGGAAAAGGAACAAGAAAGAATACTCAAGTTGCATGTTTTGGGCCTATATTAAATGAAATGTTGTTGTTTTTTTGTTTTTTGTGGAAAAGGAATTGGATTCCACCGTGTTGTGTAAGCACTGGGTAAGCGTATTTTAAGTTGCCAACTCGCAGAAGGCAAAAGCACCCGAGAGCATCCCGTGATCTAAGAAGCCAGAACAAGTTTGTTTTGTTTGTTTGTTTGTTTAGTGAGAGGTCTCTACGATGCCTACCCTCCACTGCGATCTAGAATCAGTTTCCACCATTAGTATATCAGATTAAAACAAGAACTACAGAGAAAGCCAAGATCGCGTGCAGCACACAACACCAAGGCGTTAGGCACTGTAGTTGCTGGGTGTTGCCCAGGTCAGCACACAGGTGTCAAAGTGCATCTTATTCAGAGCTCAAATTCTCCCATCAGGCTTTGCTCAAGCTGGCATCCTACGCAAGGGTTTTCAGGAAACTGCCAGGTGTCGGCTGACGTTTCAGCAGCTCCCGTCATCAAGCGCTCGGCCAAGGTGAACCAAACAGATTTTTCTTTGAGCTCTGCTAAGCATTAAGCTGTTGGAGCATTCTTCCAGCCGTCCTTACGCCAAGGCGGCTTTGATGGCCATGATTATCTTCTTGCTTGGCACTATCATCTACAAAGCCATCTCCATTCTTTTTGGAATGCACAAGCTTCCCAGCCACCGTGACTTCAAACCATCCTGTGGACTCATGAGTCCCTTCGCCAGTCATTTCCAGCTTGCCCGGAAACTCCTTTTCGAGTTCCTTCTTGAGCTGCTGATACTTGGGACTGTATCCTCAGGCCCCACAATACACCACCTTGATTTTGACATGCATGCGACGGCTGGACCCTGCGGCTCTAACCAGCAGCAGGGGAGGAGCAGTTCTCATGCGCAGTTCAGGCCTCCAACGTTCTACCTTTACCTTTACCTTTTATGCAGTAAAAAGGTAAAAAGGTAAAGGACCTTTGGACAGTTAAGTCCACTCAAAGGCAACTATGGAGTTGCAGCGCTCATCTCGCTTTCAGGCCAAGGGAGCTGGTGTTTCTCCACAGACAGCTTTCCGGGTCATGTGGCCAGCATGACTAAACCGATTCTGGTGCAACGGGACACCATGACGGAAACCAGAGCGCACAGAAACACCGTTTAGCTTCCCACCGCAGCGGTACCTATTTATCTACTTGCACTTTGACGTGCTTTCAAACTGCTAGATTGGCAGAAGCTGGGACAGAGCAACGGGAGCTCACCCCGTCACAGGGCTTCGAACCGCCAACCTTCCGATTGGCAAGCCCAAGAGGCCCAGTGGTTTAGACCACAATGCCACCCGCATCTGTTAGCTTATGCAGTGGCTTGACTTTACACACACACACCCGGCACACTCCATTGTGCCTCAAGACAGACAAATGGGAACAATGCAACCCCATCCCAAAGGTGCTGCTAGGATTTTTATTGCAACCACCCAACGTGTTTCTAGTGTTAGGAATGAAAAATATTTTTAATGCAGCTTACTTGTTTACCCACGCTTACCCCCAGAATTGTTCAAAAGGTCACCTGACAGTGGCCTCTGCTTGAAAAATAGTTTATAGAAAGATAAAACAGGCCAACAGTTTGGGGCTGAGTGGGTGGGCAAGGAACAGATCTGCTGGATATTGAAGGAGAGGCAGCCTAAGGCATAGCAGTTCATTTTTATGGTCATTCTTATTTTCAAACAGATAGGCAGTCGGAGCAAAAAATAAAAATGGGGGAAATTCTGGCTAGGAGTCTATATCATCAGCCCCAGGGTTGGTAAGAATGAGGTCATTCCTCGTGTTTATATTTTCACATGCAGGGAGCATATTCCAGTCCTCCTCCTGTCACTCAGATGTGAGAAGATCTTCACATTTTTGAAAATGTTTATGCAGAGTAAGGCACCAACTTAAAAGCTTTAATCACAGATTAACCCCCTGCCCCACCCCAAAGTGTTACTGGGGCAGAGATGGAAGAGAGTTCTGCTGTGGAATCTGCACAGATGCACTGTTCTCTGTGCCAAATTTGATGAACAAGAAAGATTACTTTTCCTTCTAATTTCTAGCCAAAGCTAGCTGCCATTTCACTTAAAATAATCCATACGTACGTTATTATTTTTTAAGTTTTCATTAAACTAAAAAATAAAAAAGTGTTGAAACATAAAAACTTAGCATAATTACAACAGAATAATCACTATAGGTTAACAAAGGGGGGGAACACACACCTAAGTTAGAAATTGTAGCAGAGTCTTAAAAGTTAAAATGTTGGGCGTAAGCAAAAAGGTTTTTATAACCTTTTGTTCTTTAAATTGTTAAATTAAGAGTATTGGGGCTAAAAGTGAGAAAGTCCCGTGTCCAAGATTTTTGAGACATGGCAGTGTCACAGTGTCTGGTATAGTTGGGTAGGGAACATCTGGGGATTCCTGGACTCCAACTCCCATCAACCGCAGCCAGCATAGTCAATGGTCAGGGATTATGGGAGTCATACTCCAACATCTGCAGGACCACAACTCCCCTATTCCTGCCATAGGCTCCTTCCTCCTCCCAATTTGCACACGCAACTCTCCTCTCTTTATTGGTTTGGTCTAAACATGGTTTGCCACTGTCCAAATTGGGTAAAGTATGGTTAGCGTTAACCATAGTTTATCTCCAAATCATCGTTTTCAAACCCAAACCATGGTTTCAAATCCTGGTTTGGAGGCAAATCCTGGTTAAGAAGAAGAAGAAGAGGAGTTTGGATTTGATATCCCGCCTTTCACTCCCTTTGAGGAGTCTCAAAGCGGCTCACATTCTCCTTTCCCTTCCTCCCCCACAACAAACACTCTGTGAGGTGAGTGGGGCTGAGAGACTTCAAAGAAGTGTGACTGGCCCAAGGTCACCCAGCAGCTGCATGTGGAGGAGCGGAGACGCGAACCCGGTTCACCAGATTACGAGTCTACTGCTCTTAATCACCACACCACACTGGCTCTCAAACTGTTTGCTAAACTGCAAACAGTTGCTGCAAAGGATGGTTAGAAGGAATCAGGGAAATTAGGAGATAATTTGTGCATCGGAAAAGGAGTGTGATTGCCCCGGGGCGGGGGGGGGCAGTGGTGAAAGGTGCTCTCCAATGCTAAACATGGTTTGACAACCGATTTACATGATGTCTGAAGTGAGTCTGTTTTCTCCTTCCTCCAGAATAATTAACACTGAAATTTAGAGGAATAGGTCAAAGGGGTTTTCGTTCCCGATGAGAGACTTTAGTTTGAATATTGCTATAAACCAGCTTAGCCAAGTGTGAGAATCTAGGTGTACAATGTAAGCATTCTGAACAAATACAAACTAAGAAGATTTGAATCATGTGAATAACCTACTACTTCAGAAATAAAGGATGAAATACGAATTTTTTAAAAAATCAATAGTGATAAAAACTGAGCTACTTTTGCTAATTGCAAACCCAGGAGAATGGTTAACAGTGACCAGTACTTCTATGGAAGTTAAAAGCATCTTACTGGATCGCACTAGGCAAACCTGCAATATAAAGAGGAAATAATTTAAGATAAAATATTCCATCTGGTTAAATATTTTATTATAGCTGTTTCTGCACCAGGACCCAACACCGTTGTACACTTTTAAAAAATTCCTCTGAAGAGAACTTTGGCCTCTTAAGGAGAACATGTTTGGGATAGGAGGGATATTTTAAAGGGGGGGGGAATCTAAGTGGAGCTGAAACAGGTTCCTACAATGCGCTTGAAGGAAATCTAGCAAAAGCAGTTATCAGGGTTTACATTTTGTACCATTGCCTCTTTACGTTTCTACAGGTTGACTTTGCAATTTTGCAATGCTCACAATATCACAAAGCAGTGGAAACATATAATCTGGCCTTAACCATTAAAGTGTCCACTACAGAGTGGCTCTTTGTGGTCCAGAAGTGTGATCTGTTTGGAAATACGTTGCTTGTCTCTGTTCCCCATTATTTAACTTCGCCTAAGGAGGAAGACTCTTGAGAGGCCCATGGACTGCAAGAAGATCAAACCTATCCATTCTGAAGGAAATCAGCCCTGAGGGCTCACTGGAAGGACAGATCCTGAAGCTGAGGCTCCAATACTTTGGCCACCTCATGAGAAGAGAAGACTCCCTGGAAAAGACCCTGATGTTGGGAAAGATGGAGAGCACAAGGAGAAGGGGACGACAGAGGACGAGATGGTTGGACAGTGTTCTTGAAGCTACCAGCATGAGTTTGATCAAACTACGAGAGGCAGTGGAAGACAGGAGTGCCTGGCGTGCTCTGGTCCATGGGGTCACGAGAAACCGGACACGACTAAATGACTAAACAACAACAACAACAACTATTAAGAATCACCCTCCACTGTATTGCTGTATTTTCCTTTGTGGAATTGGGGGTGAGGAAAAAGGGAGATCAGGATCTACAGGTAGTTTCCAGCAACTTGCAGCAGTAAATCAGTATGAATTCTGATTTCCGATTGTTCAACAATCACAACAGGAAAAAGGCCTTCTAAACAAGGCTGCTGAAATAAGGCTGCAAAAAGCTTGGGGGAGAAACCAGAAGGATTTTTGTGTGGCGGCACTGCAAGCTCAGTTCTGGTGCTGAAAACAAATTCACAGGCTGGGCATGTGCCCAGAGGTTCCTTTAATTCCAGGAGAATGTCATCCTTGCCCCTCCAACCACAGCTGGCTCTGGTTGGTGGACCTCCAGGTTCTGCTAAAGAAAGGGGGGGGGGGAGTGGATCCAGAAAGTCTGATGCCTGCCCGTCTGTTCTTGCTCTACACAATCAGATACTTACAATGTCAGATTATTCTTTCCCAGCCAATTTCCCTTTAGGTGATGGAGTAAAAGCAATCTTGCCCTGTTGCGTCTGATTTTCTGGCTTAAATTTATCTTGTTTATTATTATTATTATTATTATTATTATTATTATTATTAATCACCTTCAGAGGCTAAGCTCAAATGTTACTCTTATATACATGGGCTCAGAAAGAAAAGAAGAAGAAAAACTTTTGGAAGTGGGTTTTCTTTTTTTCCTTTTTTAAAAAACCTCCTTTGGGTTTTGATCTCTCTTTCCCTTTGAAATGGAAGCAAACTCCTGCAGGGTGCTCTGTGATCACTTTCTGGGTGTAGTCGCATGTTTTCACTTCTCGCTGTAGGTCAAATGGCTCATGTGCAATTGTGTTAACTCTCCGCTCTCAGCAAAAGGGGAAGAGCGAGGAAGCTCAGGGTGCCAGCAGGGAACGTTCCCTCCCCATCACTCAGCAGTGCTGCACTGTCGGAGCGCCTCTTATCTTGAGAGCCTGGCTAAAGAACATCAGTGAACAGAAAGAAGAAAAACTCTAAGAAGCAGGCTAGTAAAGGGTAAAGGGACCCCTGACCATTAGGCCCAGTCGTGGCTGACTCTGGGGTTGTGGTGCTCATCTCGCTTTATTGGCCGAGGGAGCCGGCGTACAGCTTCCGGGTCATGTGGTCAGCATGACTAAGCCGCTTCTGGTGAACCAGAGCAGCGCACGGAAACGCCGTTTAACTTCCCGTCAGAGTGGTACCTATTTATCTACTTGCACTTTG